CCTCAATTAAGGTCTCTAGGATTTATATTTATAGCAACTTTTAAAGTTCTCCCAACTTTTCACCCTGGAGTAAAGAAGAAATTACAGTCATCTTACTTAGGGCTGGAAGTCTAGAGAGACACTTAGGTTGATGGAAAACTGACACTGTTTTGCCTGGGCTTCTGGCAGTTTCCACCCCCTTCTAACTGATGTGAACTCTCACATGCAGGGACATAGTTACTAGTCTCACATATTAAATTGAGTGCTTTGGGGATCTAAGCTCAATTGCAAATCACTTGAAGAAACATTTCTTCATGGTATTTTTAACACCTATTTGTTTTTAAACATCGTCCTTTCACCGTCCACAGCTGCTTCTTAATGATATTATTGCTCATGACAAACCCATTTCAATTCTCTGAAAACTGCTTTTCAATTTTTCTCTTTGTGCTGTTTCCACTCAAGTGTGCCAGCTCGTGACTTGCTTTCCCTGTACCCCCTCCACTGCCGCTCACCCCTCTTCCCCCCGCCCCGAGGAGACCCCTGTGAAACTGAATCAGAAGCACACAATGTCAGCATTAGAGGGCTCCCGAGATTTCATCTCAACTAATTCAAACCCTTGCACCTCCCTTATTAAGGACAAAGAAGCTGAGGTATGGGGCGTCCCAAAGCAAGTAGCAAAATTAAGCCAGGACGTGAGGGCCTTCTAGTCCCTAAAGACTCTCTTCTTAGTTTGATCTCCCCGGAATTACTACATGAAACCAAGTGCAAGTAGCTTATTTAGGAGGTGATCCCAGGAAACACAGCAGGGGAGTGGGGAAATGGGACAGGGAAGGGAAGGCAGCTTTTTGGGATGTGGTGATGAGCACGTTAATTCTGTGGGCACCTGGGGCTCAATCCCCCTGAGAACCTCTGGAGATGGTTTAAAACAAGCCTCAGAGTTGTCCCACTGGAGAGGTAAAGAACTTAGTGGTTCCACAGTTACCCACCAACTCTTGTTTGTCATTGGTTGAAGCCTGCTCCCAGGTTCTTAATTCCCTAGCACTTCCAGCCTGTTCTATGCAGGAGGGTCAAGCATTTTTCTGCAGCTGGGAAAGCCCTCTGCAGAGTTGCAGGGTCTTTCAATGGAAGTCACCCAGCAAACATGCCTAAGGGGATATGCGTGGGGCAGTGACACCCTCTGCTGCACTGGCCAACTGTTCATTCTCTCCTGTCCCGGTCAATAAACTTTGACTGCCTTAGAGGTGAGAGGCTGAAACAAAACATGATTTATAAGGAGAAATGAAATGTTCAGGTTGGTGTTTGCAAATGAGTAAATATTATCCCTATTTTACAGAACCCAGCATGTACTTTTACATGTTACCCACTTTGCACATGCTGTCCCTCTACCTTGTATGACCTCCTAGAAAACTCCTATTCATCCTACAAACTCCAGCTCCCATAAGAACTTTCTGTTATATCCTTTCCTGATTGCTCAGGAAGAATTAATTGCTCTCCCACTTTGCTCTGACAGCATGTCGTGCCAGCTCTAACATGACTGTGCAGTGCCCATCTCACCTACTACTAATAGTGGTAATAATAGCTAATGTTTATTGACTTTAATTTTATTCCAGGCACTGTTTTAAATAATTTATGTGAATTAACTCATTTAATCCTTTCAACAACTCTATGAAGTAGCTACAATCACCATCTCCATTTTGTAGAACGGAAACTAGGACAGAGGTTAGCAACTTTCCCAGTATCATGTAGTTAGCGAGTGGCATAGCTGGGATCTGATTCCAGAAGGTCAGGCTTCCAGGTCCCTGCTCTTAACTACTGCACAGAATAAGCTCTCTTTCACTGGAATAGAGAAGGGGGACCAAGGACTGAACCCTGGGGGTATTTTTGGCAGTTTTGGTAGGGCCTCAGGCCAGGCTAGGAAACATTGTCTACAGAGAATCTTGAACAGGTAGGTGACACAAGATTTGCGTTTTACAAAGATCACTCTCACCACCATGCATAGGGTGAATTGGAAGAGGAGAGATTGAGAACAGAGATAAAAGTGTTTTGACTGGTGCAATAATCCAGGGAAGAGATGATGAAGTCCCAAGTTTAGCAGGGACCTTGCTCCCCGGACTAATCCCCACTCACCTCCCCAGCCACTCCACAGCATGGCAGGGCTGCTACTACTGCACCTGGCCAAGGGCCAAGTGGGGGCAGAACTGCAGCCTGGGCTCTAGCTGCCACCATGAGCCCTGGTGAGGAGTCACAGATACAAAAAGGAAGGGTGGTACCTTTTGCTTGCTTGCACACAGAAGCCATGCAGACTAGCAGTGGCCCTGCCCAGTCCTCCCTCCAATCCAGACATTTTAAACAACTTTCTGTTTCCTACTTATGTCATGATTTTCCCCACCTCTGTTTTGAATATTTGATTTCCTCTGCTAAGGATGCTTTCACTCATTCATTCATCCATTTTTTCACTTATTCACAACACATTTTTTAGCACCCAACATGGGCCAGGCACCTTTCTAGGTGATGGGGACTTCACAGTCTAGGGGATGAGATAAATGTTAATGTAATAATTATACAAATATGTCACTCTTTGGAGGTAAAGTCAGAGGACCATGAGACTATATGTTGGGTGCTGGGGACTTATCCACTCTGGGATGCAGGTGGCCAAGGTAAGGTCGTGACTGGGATGACATAGCTTCCCTTTGCAGAGACATGACGTTTATGCTGAGATGTGAGGAATGAGTAGGAATTAACCAGGCAAAGAGGGTAGGGAAGGAGAGTGGCCACCCTTCCTGAAGCCCTCCTGTGTTTAACAGCGAGCTCATGAATCCTTGGGTTGAAGCAGGTAGGTCTGGAGCCCAGAGGAGACTCAGCATAACAAAGGGAGGGGGAACCGAGGGGGAGGCACCCGACAGAAAAAGGAGCAGAGGGACTCAGTGAGAGCAGCTGCAGGGAGAGGGGGCTGGGGACCACGCAAGGAGCGGGAGGCTGGAAGCTGTGAGACCCGTGGGAAGTTCTCAGAGCAGCTGCTGAGGAGCTCTGGGAAATAGGGGTGTTCAATATTTCATCTTAACTTGTGCTTCTGTGGTTTACAATTCTTCCCCTTCCCAGACCTTCAGAATAATCGGTTGCACACAAATGCCTTATGTAGGGCTTCCCTGGTGGCGCAGTGGTTGAGAGTCCGCCTGCTGACGCAGGGGACACGGGTTCGTGTCCCGCTCCGGGAAGATCCCACATGACGCGGAGCGGCTGGGCCCGTGAGCCATGGCCGCTGAGCCTGCGCGTCCGGAGCCTGTGCTCCACAACGGGAGAGGCCACAACGGTGAGAGGCCCACGTACCGCAAAAAAAAAAAAAAAAAAAAAAAATTGCCTTATGTAGATGGTTTGGGGGAAATAGCTGAGTTCCCATTAAGGGTCACTGGGAAACAGTGAGGACTGCACAGCCATGTGAGGTGACACAGAACAAGAAAAGGTCAGTGGACACATGAATGTGGAGGGGACAGCAGCAATAGGAGGTATTGAAGACTCAGATGTATTTAAACCCACAAAACAAGAATTTTATTTGTATTCAATTATGATGAGTGATTAGCATAAAGTGATGATCTAAGGCAGCATTAAAGAGGGTTCCATGAGAGTAGGGACAGCCTACACAGGAAGATAGAAAAAGGAAGGGACATTCTCATGGATGACTCTGGCAATGGGACGAAGCTGTGGTTTTGTTCTAGACATCTGAGACTCAGCGGGTAAACTCCGACTGAAGGAGATTCCTCCCCACCACTGGTTCCCAAGCTCACCACCCAGCCAGCTGCAGTGCAAAGCCTACCAGGACTTTGGAGAATTACCAATTCAACGTTTACTGTTACTAAGGCAACACCTGTTACTTTCTGGGTACAAAGTCACTTGGGATGCGGTCCTTGGTCCCTACCCCTTGGAGTGCTCAGTCTGGTCCGGGAGGCAAACCTCACAGCGCAGTGATCGGTGCTGCCACAGAAGCAGGTCCAGAGGCTGGGGAAGCAGGGAA